TTTTCCATTTATAAAAATTATCTTATCTGTGGAGGTGATTCTATTTCATATAGCATTGCCAGATAATTTTCAATTTTTATTAAATGCAGGATTACTTTCAACAGATTCTGAAGATGCCTTTGATTCATCTTCTGACATCCTAGCCTATCCGTAAGTTAACAAAGTATATCCCCCTTCCCCTTGATTAGCTATATTGTTGTAATTTGTAAAAGATGCTCTAGTATCTAGGACTCTCTTTTTATGTTAATATTATGCATCATTGAGTTGTTGACCAGATGGACAATCAACACGAAGTATTATAATGCTGATGTTTCTATTTGGATGGCCCATCTGCATGAGGACTTCTCCATTGGAGCTTTGCCATCTTTTGACCAGCTTATTGCATTGGTGTTGGTCTTCGACGTTAGTGATGTAAGCCTGACCTTTTCCTTTCCTCCGTTTCATTTCCTACTTTACGAAAGCTTCTGTGAAGGGTGATCCACGAGATTATAGACTCAACTTTCAGAAATCTGATGACTTCTCTCTGCCACCATCTGCAGCTCTCATCTTTTGTTGCACTGAAAGATTGGGTTTCCCGCACCGACATCCTTAAGTTTGAGATTTTGTTATGCATTGGCAACAAAGTGGACCTTCTTCCTGGTCATTCAGCTCATGTTGAATACAGACGACGCCTGTTAAAATGTGCAGACTCCTCTGGTAGACCTTATACAGAATGGGACTATGGAATTTCTGAAACAGAAGGAAGCACCTTATTAGGAGATGATGAGACATCATTGGAGATTAAGAAGTCCTGCTTAGATTGGTGCCTCGAACACAACATAGAATATGTTGAAGCCTGTGCATCAAATGTTGATTTTGACAAATGTATGTCTCTTGTTTTTGTCATGAGATTTCTATCATTCTTTGTCACCACTTTTCTTAATCCCCTGTTTTTGAATCTTTTATATTAAACGATAAAATCCTTTGCTGCATCCACTTATATACGGGAGAAGAATTTAGGTGGCTAAGGTCATCTATTCCGCTTTTTTGGTCATATAATTGCTAACGGGAGTGTCTGAAGGTTCCCATTAGAGAATTTTATTCACTTTAATTCCAAGTTATTTATACCATTGATGAGATCTATGACTGTCTACACATTGTAGGTTTTCGTAGTCTAGATCCACTTGGATTCTTTTGTCGTACCAAGGTTGTCTGTTGGTGTTAAATCTGTATTTAGAAAGATATTTGCTTGAACATGTCTCAGGGTATACATTTGTGTTAATCTGCATATTGGCGATCTACTGTATAATAAAATTGGAAAAATCTGTAATGTTATGGTCAGCTGCATGCCCCAATAGTTCACTCCCTCGGTCTAAATGCCCACGTTAATATCATTCACGAAAAATCCACGATACAACAGATTTTGTGATACCAGTTGCTGCAAAGCTTTGGGATATGATGTCACATCGCGGCGTCATGCCTGCTCCATTTTGCAACCAATTATGTTTCATAACTTTTGATACTCTTCTTATTGTATTCATGAGCTGGTTCTGGTTTACCTTTTCAATGATGCAAGCCGAAATGGAAGTGTTCTTCCTCCTCTTTTAACTTTTACTCTTTAGAGTTCAGTTATAATAATATGTTTTTTACAGGTCTTTCTGTGGATGGTGATTCTCAGGGCGTTGAACGGCTCTTTGGGGCACTTTCAGCTTATATGTGGCCTGGAATGATCTTGAAGTCTGGTGATAGGATTACTGAACCTTCATTACCTGAAGCGCAAGGTTTTAATATTTCTGTCGATGATGCAATTTTCCCTTTTTATACCTTTTTGAGGGCTTATTCAAATGACCGAATGTTTTTCTGTGGCTCACCTTTCAGAATTGTCAGATGAAGAATCTGATTTTGAACTTGAATACGAAATCTTATCTGCTGGCTCAGCCGATCCCTGGGATGACACAGATTTAGGATGGGTATCTGCAGATGTTCCCGGTGAAACCAGTGGAACAAAGGAATCAGTTCCCAATGGAAAGAGTGGAACCGAGTTAATTGGACGAGAAATGCTACCGTCATCATCTGTGTCTCAATTGGAAGGAGAAAGTGAAAGAAAAGAAATGCCCAGAGCAGATGTAGCTGCTGGTGATTTAGAGGATGATAAAGGAACAGCATTTGATTTTGAGAATTTGGAGCAGTTAATGTCGGAGATAGGGAATGTTCGAGACAGCTTGAGGTTAATGCCAGACTTCCAAAGGAGGGAAATGGCTGCAAACTTGGCAATGAAAATGGCGGCCATGTTTGGTGATAGCAGTGGAGATGAAGGAGGATTTGATTGATAGGAGACGCTCTATAAAGTTCACTGATCAAGAATACCCGTCAGTTTCACTTCTTACAAAGCTGTTCATAAACTAAAGGAATCTGATAACCGCGTTGTGCATTCATGTGAGGTAAGATCGCTGAGCTATCTGTCAAAGATCTCTGCTACAGAATTCAATGCTTTATTTCTGTGTGGTTATGATCCAAAGACAGAGAAATATTTACAAGTCCTAACAAGTGATTGGAGATGGTAGAAATGTTTCGAGCTTGTTTGGTTTCTATGTAGTTTTCAGATTGACCTCCTAGAAACGATGTGCGTGTTGTTAGCAAGTTTAGTATGTTATGTTATGAGACCAGCAGTGATTATATTTATCGAACTTCTGATTAGTTATGAGAATTAGCTGTTTTCTCTTGTGGGCAAACCTTAGAGGAAACGGTGCTACTGTATGGAGATTTGTCTAGAGAAAGATCATGGATTACATATAGTAGGATTGTACTCATTCTGATCGCACTAACTCTAAATTGTGAATCCTTATATGGTTTTGTCTAACTATTTAACAGTGTTTAGCAGTGAGTTTCTTCTCGCTGTTCCCATTTGCCTTATATCCTGGTGATATATTTCAAGTCCACTAAAATTTTCACCTCATATAGATGTTCCCTGCTTCTTGTCTCAAATGAAGTTTTTTCACAGAGTGGTTTCTGGTTTTATATGAAGGCAACGAAAAACCAAGTTCCTAAAAGGGATGTGTGTCACACTCATTTTTATCTTGGTATGTCGCTATACTGTGGGCCTTCATTCTTGAAAGGGCAAAAAGTAGCATTCACTTTGTTTATGGAAAGGAAAGAGAAGATCTTCGAATATTTTATCCAGATCACTTTGTTATGTTTTCCAATCGCGTTTGAAATCTCTTTGACATATATGCTTTCACTCAAGGAGGTGGGAACAGCGTTGGACAAATATGGCCATATTGTACCTCATTCTCGTCTTCAATAGGTCTGCTCTTCCTTTTTTGGGAGCGTACGAAACTTTCCGCCAGCAGCCTTGTGGTTTAGAAGCTGTCAAACTGCTACTAGTGGAAGTTAATAGTGTGAAATGAACAGGTAAGAGATGAAGTTTCTTAAAGTGATGAGCTCAAAACCTTAGTGCAGGTCTTATTCACCCAGATATAGAAAGGTCTTAGAGTAGAACTGATATATCTTATGCACTTATTCTGTCTTACTATCCAAACCCCTTTTATATGCAGTATCCTTCTGCTTGTTCTAGTGGTTACTTGCATGAAATAATTGATTATTGGGAATCTTTGCTAGATTTGTTTCCAACTTTCCATTCACCTACACAAGTTGATGATATTGACTATTGACATATACAAGTTGAGAAGATTCACCTTTAGTTGCCTTTTAACTCAATTATTGCTTTATAACACAATGAAATGATAGGTAGTATTTGTGATAAGTGGGTTTCTTCTCTATCTATACATATCCTTTTGGTTCATTGCTTTTTGGCAGAAATGGGATTGGTCTACAATTGTTTCCTGTATAGAAGCATCTTTAGCTTTGGGAATGACTAAAAAAAGGGCAGTCCGATGCACTAAACTCTCGCTATGCGCGGGGTTCGGAAAAGGGCCGGACCACAAGGGTGATCTGGATGCTAAAACACTTACTCCCAACTAATGTTTTTGTTAGATTGATTAATCAATCGACTAACCTCAATTCCAAAAAGCTAAAGTCCGTTTTTATAGATCTCTTTATTACCAAAAAAAACAAGATAATTCAGAGCATGTGAAAAGGAGAAACACATATGCCTCAGTTAGGAGGTGTGAGAGGTTAGCTTTAGTGGGCCTAAGAAGTACTGGGAGAGATAATTAGGTAAGATATGAAACAACTTCAGCTTCTCTTCATAGGAGGGTGTGGAGATCGAGAATTAGGGTAGAAGGTTAGTAGGTAGTCGAATATTTTTCTTTTACTTTTCCAAATCGGTAGTATTAGTGTTAATATGGTATCTTTCTTATACTTAGATTGTTATTACTAACTGCTTGTTGCCACTGCTTTTTTTCTTGAGCCAAGGGTCTATCGTAAACAGTCTTTCTGCCCTCCAAAAGTAGGGGTAAAGTCTGCATACACATTACCCTTCGTCAACCTTACTTGTGGGAATTCACTGGGTGTATTGTTGTTGTTGTTACTTCCGTTTATTCAGAATTCAATTTTGTCTTTTAAGGCAAACAATGTCTTCATTCTTTTAAGGGAAATTATCTAATGCGATTGCTTGCGCAATGTCTGAAAAGTTGATAATATTTGTTCTTTTTATAAAGGAGTAAATGATCTCATTTGTTAACTTTTATTTAATGATTTGAGTTTAAATAGTGAAACACTAACTAAATCTTGTATTGAAAGAGCAAAAAATATGGATTTAATTCGACTCACGTATCAGTTTCTCAACAATTGAGAGTAATATTTTCCTTTAGCATGGATAGCCAAAAGAGAAAAAAAGAAAATAAGGCACCTTCTTACACTCTTATTGTAGTTGAATGGTAAATATTCCTTTATTCTTTTTTTTAACTAAAGATTAGGTACGAGCTTTGAATATGAAGCCACTCTAACTTTCCCTAATGTATTTTCCAATACGAATTCGAATTTAATTGCGTCCCAATATGAACACCGAATACCGAATAAAAAACCAAAACAAAAGATGAAGATTGTCGAAATTAACGAGAGATTTCGAATTTAACCTCTATTAATAAAAAAATACTTCCTGGCAAGAGTTTTCCCCTTTTCTAGTGTCAGACATTTCACATAAATTCGGACTAATAGGAACAATTTCACCTTTAATGTCGATATTTCACATAAATCACAAACTAATCGGACCAATAAATTTCAGATTTAGCCGAAAATTAAAAAAAAAAAAAAGTACTCCTGCAGCTTTCTTCGGGTCAATTATTCCATTTTTGTCACCTTCTACACTATCATTTACAATCAGAACCGGAATATCTTCAACCTTATCCAATTCTCCTCGAGCTCATGTGGGCCCCTTTTCCAACATCGGACAAAAGTCCGTTACCGTTTTACAGTTACGATAATGGTCGGTAACACTTTACGTGTTAACTCCGTTACTTTTCCGTTTTCTTACAGCCAAAGGTTACTTCGCTTGTACTGGAAGATATATCACAAGAGCGAGATTCGGCCGGTGGTAGAATTGAACCACTGTTGGAGTCTCCGGAAAATGGAGGAAGTTCGCCGCACTTCCGGCACCGAGAACGAGTACCGACGAGGATCTGCCGGCAGGAAGGACACGACGCGTGCGACGCAAGCCACGTGTCCACACACTGGAGGTGGAACACGTGTCCGCAATGCGGCAGCACGCGTATTTCATCTCCCTGAACGTACTCGACCAGACAAATCGCGCACTCCGCCGTGACCGGCGGCGCACCGTTCGCCGTACCGGTGAAAGAAGGATCGTACTTGTACTTCGGCAAAGACTTTAAAACTTTCTTCTTCAAGCCTTTGTTCGCCGGCGGCATATTTTCCGGCGCGTCTCGCCGGAGCCAAGTGCAACGAGCTACTACAATGAGACCTGAGACACAGATTACTGCACAGAGTAAAGCGGCTAAGATGACGACAAAGTCGGATTCCGCTGTCACAGAATACGGTGGCTCAGCCTCCCCTTCCACCGCAGCAGGAGTTGGCGGCGGCGGTGAAGTGGAGGATGAGTTGGTGGTGGTTAGCAGAAATCTAGGTGGTCGAGTCATAATTTAGCGACAGATGTAATAATTAAGGCAAAGGTCTTTTATATTTCAAGAGGAAGTTGAAATGTCGTTAAGGATAAAGGACAGAGTTAGCTAAGATATATATAACTGTCAGGTCAGCTATGGATATTATAAATATATATTGGGCAGATGGAGTTGTTGTGAGGGTTGAAGGGAAGGTGCTTTAGGGTGGTAGGGGAAGACAATCTAAAGCTCTATGTAAAAATATAAAAAAGTAAAAATTAAATAAAAAATAGTAAGTAAAAAATAAAAATTGACGTATCACCTAAATCAATACTAAAAGTTAGCTAATATGGTAAGTATTGTCTAACACTACATAAAGAGACAATTGACACCAAATCTTAGCCATCTGGGCATAATTTTCACTAAGGGGATTTAAAAAAATAATTAAAAAAAGTAAACATACGAAGAAATTAAGGTGATTAACATATTATATATATATATATATATATATATATATATATATATATATATATATATGTATATATTTATATATATGTCGCCCCTTTTTCTCGCGAAATCGGGTTTCGACACGTGACAACTCTTTTAAAGGAAGGGTGTTAAAAGAGAGAGTCGCCACCGTTTAAGGTGCGTTAGGGCACCTATTTGCAGATAACTCTGTTTGACTAGTTTGCGTCACCAAAAATTGGGTAAGGGCTCGAAATTACCTCAAAGAGAAGGTGTTAGGCACTCTTCGAGGTCCACAACTGTGGTTCCTGGCCGAACTTGAATTATATGAATTAGTCTATGTGATCAAATAAACGAAGAGAGAGCACAAAAATTTAAGAACTTTATTATAAATAGTTTTNGGTTCCTAAGTTTTTTTAGCCTAAAGGATCACCCCGTGCAATATTCGTAACTCCCTCCAGATGGGGTGTTACTCGTATTATTCAGCGGGCACAGACTATCATCTCCTGCTACCCGATTACTATCTTTAAGTTGTTACCTAAAGTGCACTATTTGGTTCTAAACCGAGCCTTATGCGTGCACTACCCGTCCCATGCCTATGGTCCAGGAGGCGTTTGGACCTCTATTTTGGGTGGTTCTAGACTTAACTTAGGTTGCTCAAAATGAGAAAACTAGGCGACATACAAAACAAGTTGGACTTCATATAAAAGTAGTCAAGGGCTCAAGTTAGCCTCCACACTTAGACAACAAATGCACGCGAACAAGTTAGGCATTTGACAGTTTCAGAATTGAGACGAGTTAAAGCCATTAAGCCCTATAGACATGATTTCTATGCGACTATACAGTTTAGGAGTATTTGGTATTACACACTAGGGGTGTGCATTCTAATCGGTTTATCGATAAATCGAATCGATTATTTGTTATCGGTTTATCGATTTATCGCTTTCGAAATTTTCCTTATCGAGTTATCGATTTCGATTTCGATTTTGTCCTCTTCGGTTATCGGTTTATCGATAAACTGATAAGATATACTAAAAAGATAATTTTTTTTTTATTATTCTATAATACCCTTTCCCTTACCCTAAGTCCATAACCCTATTATTTCCTCTACCACATTTAAGGAATGATCATATTTAAAGCTCAAGGGAATGAAGTTCAAATTAATGGAAAACAAAATTAGCCGTGATGATGTATTTTGTTTTGTTTTATTTTTTATACAGTTGGAGTGTTGGTGGCATACACTTGATCCCTTACTTTAGTTTTGTTGGATGTGCTTGTTGACACAATTTTTATGTTATAAACGGTGTTCGTCTTATTTTAGCTTCTTTTTGTCCATATTAGTTAGGCGTGTTTATAGCGATATACTTTCCGTGAAATCCCGCAAATTTTCTTATTGTTGTAATCGATAACCGAATCGACAAGCCCCAAAAATCGATAAATCGAAATCGAAAAAATTGAAACCTTATTGAAACGATAACGATAAGCATAAGTACAAATCGATAATCGATAAGTAATTATCGATAAGGGTCAAAATCGAATCGATAAATCGAATGCACACCCGTATTACTCACTGATTATTGAGACTACAGGTTATAAGTGGTTTAACCTATATGCATGATCTCTAGGTGATTTATGCAGTAGGGACAATAAAACTTATTGGAAATGCTCAAAATTACTTATGCTTCCTAATAATCGCGTGGATAACAACGTTTGAAGAGCGAGTAGTGATGTCCTATAGGCATGATTTCTAGAGACTGGCAATTGGGACTGATCCTCATATATTTAACTCCTATGGGCTTTCTAAAGGTTGACAGTTTGAGCTGATTTTATACATATTTAGTTTCTGTAGGCATGCTTTCTAAAGGACAGTGTGATGCAACAACGAATTTAAGTAATTAAAGTCCTATAGGCATGATATCTATTGAGCGTGGTGCATATTGAAAAGGGTGTTATTAGCATTCATTCCCTATAGGCATGACATCTAATAATCGGGCAGAAGTAGACATAAGAGCAGGTAAAATATTTAGTCCAACGATCATCCTTTTGAATAATGTGTAGGTATTAGGAAAGTTGAGTGAAGTGTGTGATTTCCTATAGGAATGGTTTCTAAGTTGACAAAAAAAAATATTATACATCTTATTCTAGTGAATAATTGAGTAGTCATGCAAAGTGTTCACTTCATGATGTCTATAACCACGCAACAGTAGACATAGCGCCTGAATAGTAAACAAGTAGGGTGTGTGTTGATCACTGCCAACTCCGCACCACTAAAAAGTAGCGAGAGAGGGTCGCAATAGCTTTTACCCGATTTTGGGTCGGGATCTAATCCACAGAGAGCTAGGATTGGAATCGAGTATCTATTTAGCTTAGGATTGCGTGTGTGCTCTTAATTGGTCTTCTATTCATTTTTGGATTTTTTTTATAATTCTATTTTTATCAAACTACTAATTGAAAATGCAACTAGATTAAGCTAAGAGATAATTGCTACAAGTTGTATCTAATAGTTTAAAAGGCACTAGGGTAGTGACCTTTACCTAGGTGGCTAATTGACGGGTAATTGCACCTAAGGCTCGATTGACATGATTGGGAAAATATGTTATAATCGTTACTCAATACTACCCACTCTACACCTCTCGGTAGAAAGTGTGGTTTTGCCCAATTGACTCTCTCGAGACCAATTGGGTATGCATATATGCCCGAGCAACTAGGGTTCAAGTCGGGTAATTACTCTCTCGAGGTTTAACCCTTTAATTGGGACTATCAAATCTCTTGAGTCCATCCCAATTTGTTGTTGAGTCAATTTTGGAGACTTAGGCTCTCTTTCTCAAGAAGAGCCAAGTCAACTAAGCACAAACTAGTATTTGCAACCACTTTCATAAATTAAATCATAAAATTGACCCAAATAACAAACACCCATAATCAATCTAACCTTAAATCACAACACCCATCAATTACCCACACTAGGGTTGAGCCACAACCCTAGCTAATGGGTTTAACTACTCATGCTTGAAGATAAAATCAGAGAAATAGATGAAGAGAAAGACATAATATTAAATTACTGAAGTAAATATAATGATTCAATTGCTAAAACTATGTTAAAGTGCCCAAAATAGCTACAAAATGGCTTCTCACGAGCGCAACTACTGTTCTGTAATGTCTGATAATAGCTGGTTGCCCTAAAAATGGAAAAATGTGCTATTTATACTAAGCTGGAAAAACTGGACAAAAATGCCCCTGCGGGGCCAGTGCGGGCCGCACAAAATGGACTGCGGTCGCACTAGGCTCTTGGACTTGAAATCTTGGCTCTCTGAACTTAGGCTCCGCGGACCGCGCAGAATGGACCGCGGCCGCGGAGGTTTCTAATGCGGTCCGCACAATCATGACTGCGGACCGCGCTGGCTTGAACCTTGGCAAATTACATCTCTCTGATCTTTTCTTCCGCGGACCGCACAAAATGGTGGTGTGGCCGCGGTGTCTTTAGTGCGGGCCGCACAATATCTACTGCGGCCGCATTGCTTTGATGCCTTGAAAACCAGTCTCTGAATCTCCCTAGTGCGGACCGCATAGAATGGACTGCCGCCGCACTAGGCTAGTTTGTCCTGAGTTGTCTTTGTCTTTGATACTTGTGCAGGTTTCACTCCTTTTGAGCCGATATTTGACATCCCGTCACTTTGTTGATCAAACCTGCAATCAAGTACAACTTATGAGCCTTTTGGGACTATTTTGTAAGAATTTGTAATCAAAGCGTAAGCAAGAAGGAGCATGAAACACATCAAATTCCCTAGTTATCATGTGTGCTTCTCCTAATATCATGATTTCTATAGGGCTCATGTATCGAACAACACATATAGCAAACATATTGTCAAGTCCTATAGGCATGTCATCTACCCATGGCACGTTGATATAGAATTCTACCCATTCCCCTTTCACAAGTAGAATCCTAATATTACATGGCAATAGACAGGCCTATAGCAGGCCCAAATACACGACTAAATACCCAGCCTTGCTGGGCCTTCAACATCATATCCAGCAGGCTTCAAACATAGCCCAGAAGTCATAGCCAATTAAACCCCAGAAAACGATCTTCATGTACACACAGAATAGCCAAAACCCAATAGCCAGAGCTGATTAACAGTCCCGGAAAGACAACCATTTACACAAGCCCATTGGCTTGTCCCGTAAGGTGGAAAAAGGGTGCCCAGTAGGAAATTAGGAAAAAGTGGCAGAGAACCTTGGACCCTAGTGTGCCAGAGTTCCCAAGGGCTTCAAGAACCCAGGGCAGTACTCACTCTAGGGAGGTTGATAGAGGAGACTTAGGGGAAGGGCTTTGGCTTTTAGCCAGCTCCAGAATTAAACTCATGACAGGAAACAACTAGTGAAAATAATACTAAAGTAATAGGTTTTGAAAAAAGCATTTGCAAACTTACAGGATAATCACATAATGAACATAAACTAGCATATTGGCAGGGGTAACATATGACAAAAGACAAAGGATCTAGGACTGCAAAGTTAATAGGCAAGGCATTAGGCCAATAAAACCAAGTTATGCAACCAATTTAGAACTTAAAGGATCAGATTATACCAAACTCAGGATTAGCAGTATAATACAAACAGGATCAGGTATCATAGAGAACATTAGTTAATCACAATATGCAGAAACTCATACAACCACAATATTGGAACCCAAAATTAACATGTAAGATGCTACAAGGTCGAGATCAGAGAATGCAAATTACAGCAGACTATTCTCA